ATTCCTTTACATTTATACCCCCTCCACTTTCCTAGTTTATTTGGTTTAATTCTATTTTCCCTTAAGTAATGAATATCAGTCTGCATATAGTTGGATACACACACACTGCACACTTTCACACACACAACTCAATACCCTCAATTAATAATCCCTTTGCCCCCTTTGTTAATGTTTGTTGTCTCATTTGTCTCATGTAGTATGTTATGTGCTTTGTCCTGTAAATGTGTTATTTTGTGTTGCAATAAAAAAAAAGAAATACTAGAACATTTTGCCTTTGTAACATTGTAGATGAGTCAGAAAACAAGAAAAAGCATGCTGTGGGCTCTTTAACTATGTTAACAGCATTGTTACATCATAGACAGCATAGACATCTACTATGGTGGATTGTTTTTTACACTTATTGTATATCCATTAATGTAAATTCAAAAGTTATTAGGAAATGGTCAGACAGAAAAGGGTTTTGGGGGCAAACTATTAAATGTTCTATTTCTATGCCATGTGTCAGAGCAAGATCAAGGGTGTGATTAAAACAGTTAGTGGGTTTATTTACAGTTTGAGAAAAGCCAGTTGAGTCTAATAATGAATAGAATGCACTGTTGAGGCTGTCACTGGCAACATCTACATAAATATTAAGGTTACCAACTATGATTAATTTATCTTTATTAAGCACTAAATCAGGCTGCCTTGGCAGTGCACTCTTTCATGTATTTGTTGTTTTTCCTTGTTTCCTTAGTCTTCTGCAATCCAGCCCAGGTTACCTTTACCAGAGAATGGCTCCTAAATAACAAATCATTCTGAACACCTTATCTCTAATGCAAAAACATCCCACTCATTGTTCTAATGGATTTTAAAAGAGCAAATCTCACCCATGAGCTGCCCAAGTACAGATAGCATGTCAATCACCTCGGACCACTGCTACATGGCAATAAAAGACACATATCGCTCTGTCAACCATACAGCCCTCAGTCCCTCCTGATCACTGCATGTTTCATCTCATCCCAACCTATAAGCAGAAACCTAAAGCTGCAAAGCCTGCGGTCAAAACAGTGAAGAGATGTACTGGTAGGAAAAGTGAGAGCTACAGGCCTGCACAAATTGGAGTGTATTTGAGGCTATGTCTACAGACCTGGATGAACTCACTGACACTAACATCAGCTTTTGTGAAAATGTGTGTGCCCACAAAGACAGTTCTGCACTTATAACAACAATAAGCCCTGGTTCACAGTAAGACTCAAGTGGATTTGTTGTGTCAGAGGAACCCTACAGAAGTGTGGACAGGATCCTGTACAAGCAAGGTAGGAACACACTGACAAGGGAGATCAGAGTAGCAAAGAGGAGCTACTCTGAAAAGCTGAAAAAACAGTTTTCAGCCAACAACCTGTTGTCTGTGTAGAGAAGCCTCGAAAACATCACTAGCTACAGGAAACTATTCCTCTGCTGTGGAAGACCATCAACTGGCAGACGACCTGAATGTGTTTACTGTAGGTTTGAGAAGTTTTACTCCACACACCTCACCTCAGACCCAACATTTGCTGTTGGCCACTCCAGCCTCAAGAATACATTTGACTGTGGGTGCTCATGTCTCTAGCTTCATATTTCTGACTATGGAGTTGCCAGTCATCAGAGTTGGTTTCTCATTGGGTGTTGCTGAGTGGGGAAAATCCATTTGAAACTTGAACAGGCAGGTGATGAACCATAGATGTTTGTTCTTTAGCCTTCTACCAAGACATCTTACCTTGATGAATCTTTGTTGTTGGTCACTACAAAACATACCTTATACATAAAATCTTTAAACTATCAAAACTGTCTAGCATTTCCTTTGATGGTGAGATGACGTGAGGTGACTATACAAAAAAGGAAGTAGTGACTTCTGAATGACCATAGTAGTTCTTAGCTTCTTTGCACTGCAGGAAAAAATTGTGAATGAGAATTTAAACAGTGAAGAGAGACTATTGTTTTTATTTGTTCTGAATGAGGCAGAGTTTAAAAACAAACAGAATACAAGACAAAGAACTAATACATTCTTACTTTGAATGTTTATCTACATATTACTTCTTAACCAATTGGTAAATTAAAAGACAATGTTTAACATTAAATCAATGTACACTTATACATGGTCATAAAAAAATTGGGTTTTTTATTTCATGTTTACAGTTGTCTGTACTGACATTACAATGAAATTGCATAGATTACATCTTGTCATACATTATGTGATAATAACTATGGCATTAATGTGTATGGGACCTCTATGGATTGTTGTGTTCTTTCTTACAGAACAGTTAATCTAGGCTATGTCGCTGGTTAATACATATTCTTCAAGTTCATTATTGTTTTGTCAACTTGGAATGTAAAGTCCCAGCACTGTTTGTCCTTTGCATTCATGAGAAAAACATGTTATGCTGAGAGCCAGTTTCATGGGCCAGCTGTCTCTACAAGAAAACAGAGACTCAGAGGCATCTGAGGTGAGTGACACTCCATCCATCTTGACCTCTCTACTCTGGTTGTCTACAGGGTAAGAAAGTGTTTAAATGTCTTTACTAATGACTTAGTAACAAGTTTAGTGTGAATTTGTCTAATTAAAGGTTTAGTACACATACTATAGTTTAGTTCACACACTCTGTGCTGGCAAATCTTGCCAGCCTGGGACAGGTTTACAAGGTGTCTGTTTTATCAGCAAAGGTTTAATAAGGGAAGCATAACGCAAAAGCATAACAAAGGAGAAGATTAAAACACACGCTCATAAAAAGGAATATATATATATATATATATATACAGTATATATAAAATAAAGATTTCATGAGCTCCAACTGCATTGCTTTGTTTTATGCTGATGCAGACTTTTACAGTGGTACTAAGTCTTTGATTTATCTGTTTGATAGTTTGTGGATACTGCTGAGCTGAAAGGGCTGTAGTCCTTCAGAGGTAGTTTTGAGTTTAGATGTCTTGCTTGAAGGCACCTTACTAGGAGTTCTTAAAAACAGATTTTCTTTCTTTATTTCTATCATTCTTTTCCAGGACACTCTTATATTTGCTCTGAGGATACGACACAATTCAACACCTCTAGCAGTCACCGGCCACATCGACCTGATCAGTGTTTGATTGTTGTGTCTTGTTGCTTTTCTTCTTTTGTCTCTCCTCTATCCACTCACCCCAACCGGTCGAGGCAGAAGGCCGCCCACCAAGAGCCGGGGTCTGTCGGAGGTTTCTTCCGTTAAAGGGAGTTTTTCCTCCCCACTGTCGCCAAGTGCTTGCTCAAGGGGGATTTGTTGGGTTTTCCCTATGTAATAATATTGATAACAGTAAGGTCTAGACCTTACTTTGTAAAGTGTCCTGAGATGACTTTTGTTGTGATTTGGCGCTATACAAATAAAATTTGATTTGATTTGATTTTGATTTGATAACAGGCCCTGCTAAAACTGAAAGAAACATATTTAGATAGTTATACTTTTTGTTTTGTTGGAACTGCTCTGGACCTCAGTACACTCTGAAATGAATGAGGTTTATTTTTCCTCTTTAATTTGACAGTGTTTACAGCCACAGATGAACAGCAAGGGAAATTTAGTCTTTTATTTTTTGTAAATGAAATATACAAGTGTTTATATTTTCTTATTTAAGGTAATGTTATGCAAAACTAACATTAACTCCCATGGTGGATAAGAAGACTATTTGTGCATGCTAGTGTTAAGCTAACCATTACTAGCATATAGCTGCTTATATCTCATTTAAAATGGATCGAGATAAATTGTTTTTTAAGTTATATTTTGGGCTTTTTATCTTTTATTTATTGAGAATCAGAAAGAAAACAGGGGAGACATGACAAGTGTGATCCTCTGACAATGCATATGTTGCTAAGTACATGGTGCACAGCGCTGTAACCACTCAGCTATGGGGCACCCAAGATTAAAATACATTGTTGACGAACTCTGTGCTGAACTAATCATTAATCATAAATCATATTTAATCTTTAATTTGTCTCTGTATGGTGGTTAAAAATGTCCCTGTCCCAGCTTTGACTGTGATAGCATGACACTTCACTTCCAGGTTGGATTGAACAGGTGATTCTCTGCTCTCAGACTGAGGAAAGGGAGTGTGAGAGCTCTGAATGTAGTTACACTACACCTAGACTGTTCAGATCAGCTGTTACACACCATTCTGTTCTCACACACAATCTGTATCTATGCATTATCTGTTGACTTACGTACTAAACAATTCTCTGAATTTTTGTGCTCTCTCCAGTGTTTTGTCCTCAATAAACTGTACCTCCATATACATTTGTGAGCACCTGTGTAACAAAACACACTACAATGAAATCTGGACAGTTTAAAAAACATTTTTTTAATATTCATAATGACAAGATTTTGGCTGGCATCATTAAGACTTTTCATTTTCACAGTACTATACATGTATTCTTCATACTCAGCAGAAAAATGCCAAAGAGTCATGGCCCCTGTGTTATTTAAATGTGCAGCAAGATTGTATTTTTTAAACTTACAGAATGTAGTTTGTTTCCATTTGGAAACTTTACTGGTGCTGGCACAAAACCTGTAGCAGTAAATGTTTGCTGGGAAATTATGTCACAAACCTCTGCATTATTATTCTGCAAATAACTGTGTAGTTCAGATATGTTAGTGTCACTGATTCACTACAATATTTCTGTTCACACCTAAGAACAACTTGGATGAAGACTAGACAACCTTTTAGGCCATTTAGCATACAAATGAGTGCAACAACTTCCCAAAGCATAGCACAGTCTGCTGGGATTTTTACTGTGTGTTCTCTAACATTCAGCCAGCTTTAGCTTATGTTTATTTCTTTATAGCATGAAAATAAGCTTCCAGAAACTTGAAACCTGCTTGAGTAAAAAAAAAAAAAAAAACTCATACAAGTCCAAGTGTCTCTAAGTGGCTTAATGTTGCATTGCCAACTCTCAAATCAGTCTCCATTAAATCAAAGTAGCTATCTATAATAGCGCATCCAAAACTCTAAAGCAACAAAACATACTTTGTTAAACAGTCAGTACTGATGTCAGTAGTAGCTGTTTAGCGAAAGCACAATAAACACTGGTGTTATCCTTTAACTGAGAGCTATTAGTCATACAATATTTCATCATATATCAAAGATAAAACATCAGGAAAGTACAGAATGAAAGACAAAATAAGTGAGAACACTCTATATTGTTGTTGTACCACTGTTTGAATAAATTGCCATGTGCCTGTGTCAAATCAAATACTGAATCAGATACTAGTGGCATAAGCTGTCCTGTCACCCACAGTCCACTGTGTGTAATCACAGTTCTAGTTCTCCTCTGGCCTGTGGTCCACAGCCTGTGGCAGACTGCTGGTGTGTCCTCAGGTTGCAGATCCAGGCGAACCTCTTCCCACACTGGTCACAGTTGAAGGGTTTCTCCCCAGTGTGAACTCTCTGGTGTTTCTTCAGGTTTCCGGCCTCGGAGAAATGTTTCCCACAAGTGTCACAGCGGAAGGGTTTCTCCCCTGTGTGGACTCTCTTGTGTGCTTCCAGGTTAGACAGACCAGAAAAAGCCTTGCCACAAGCTCGGCATATGTAGTTCTTCCTGCGATGCTCACTGGGCATGATGCTGGCAACCTGGCTTTTATTGTGGAGAGCCAGAAACCTTGCTTGATGATGTGCAGCAACGGCCCCCTCAGTGCTGGCCAGTGCTGGTAGGGATCCTCTGAGAGGTTGTTTGAGAGACATTGTTCTGCTTGTTGTGCTGATAGAAGGGACATATGCTTTATCACTACTGTCACTGTTGGTGTCAGAAGCTGTAGTGGAGGACAACATGCCCTGAGTAGAGGGAATGCTCTGCTGCTGCTGGTCTGGGATCCTGTTGCTGCTCTGATGCTGTTGTAGTAGCTGAGTTTGTGCACTTATCATGCTTGGTGTTTGCCTCCATGAAGACTTGGTAGAGGGAGCATGCATGTTCAGAGGTATGGACAGAGATGTCCCTGTTGACAGAGCTATGAGCAGAGAAAACATGGAGTCAGCACATTTTTATTAAACTGACCTCTCGAGATGATACAAAGACTACATTTTACAGTAAATCATCTTTTGCCACGCTGCACAGTACAGTATGAACATTTTGGGATTTTAATAAATATAATACGACTGTTATGGTTAGCCTTTAACAGATACAGCTCACACAGTGCTATGACATTTGAATCTAAATGAAAATTTACACAGGAAGTGTTCACATGTATTTTATCAGATCACACAAAAAATGTATGTGTAATTTTTAAGTACTCTGATTGTTCTGGCATCCTGAGTAAAACATATACTCTCTGTAGCCATCTATTAAAATACCACAAATCAGCTGCTGTCTATTTGTTCACTGGTTGAATGGTCCCATTTTAACTGTAAGTTTTGAGGCTTTGCTAAACCTACTGAACAAATCAGTAGGTTTGGTGGTATTTTAAAAACAATTATTCCGGCTAAGCTAAGACCCAGGTTAGCTGTGCTGCTACTGGACAGCTAGTTCTATTCACTTCAATGCAATTTTATTTGTATAGCACCAAATCACAACAAAAATCATCTCAGGGCACTTTACATAGTAAGGCCTAGACCTTAAGATATTACAAAGAAAAACCTAACAAATAGCAAACCTGGAAAGAAAAAACTCCTTTTAATGGAACAAATCTACAACATAACTAGGCTGTTTGTGAGCAGGCATCTGCCTTGACTGGCTCGGGTGAGTGGATAGAGGAGAGAAAAAAGAAAAGCATCAAGTAACAACAAATAAAACAAACATTTGAGAAACCAGAAATACATAGCTCTGAAGCCAGTGGTATTTGCAGAAAGTTACCGGTAGAGAGAAAAACAAACTAGGAGACACAAGGTTAATGAAATACAATGTGGCATAAAAATGAATGGAGAGTGAGAAGAGCAGAGAAACACAGAGCATCATGGGGCCCCTCAGCAGCCTAGGCCTATAGCACCATAACTAAGGGAAGGCTCATAGTCACCTGAGCCAGCTTTATCAAAAAGGAAAATCTTAAGTCTAACCTTAAAGGTAGAGAGGGTGTCCGCCTCCTGAACTGAGACTGGGAGTTGGTTCCAGGGGAGAAGAGCTTGATAGCTAAAGGCTTTGCCTCCCATTCTACTTCTATAGACTCTAGGAACCACAAGTAAACCTGCACTCTGAGAGCAAAGTGTTCTATTAGGATGATAAGGCTCTGCAAGGTCTTTAAGATACGATGGAGCCTTGTCATTAAGAGCTTTGTATGTTAGGAGAAGGATTTTAAATTCTATTCTGGATTTTACATATGAAGACAGGAGAAAGGATGATCCTGGGAGTCTGGACGCTGGTCGTGCTGGTTTGGAGCAATTCAAGTCAATTTTTTTGAACATTGCTACACAAGTAGCAGAGCACTCTCCGAGAGCAAAGTGCTCTGTTGGGATGATAAGGCACTAGGAGGTCTTAAAAAATACAATGAAGCCTTGTCAATAAGGGCTTTGTATGTTAGGAGAAGGATTTTAACATCTATTTTACAGGGAGCCAGTGGAGAGAAGCTAATATGGGAGAAATATGATCTCTCTTGCTAGTTCCTGTCAGTACTCTGGCTGCAGCATTTTGGATTAATTGGAGGCTTTTTAGGGAATTATTGGGACATCCTGATAGTAAAGAGATAAAGTAGTCCAGCCTGGAAGTAACAAATGCATGTACCAGTTTTTCAGCACTACTTTGAGACAGGATGTTCCTAATTTTAACAATGGTGTGCAGGTAATTATTAATACATACATACATTAGGGTGGTCTAAAACCTCATCCCTACAAAAAAAGCTCACCATTCCCAAAGAACCCCCCAAGTTGAAGCATGTTCCCACTGCTGTGGGTGTACTGCTGGTTAGGTTCCAACAGTGGAAATGCAGCTATCATGTGCAGCTAGAACACCTCACTGACACACTACTGTGCGCTGATGATGTAGATAGCTGCCTGCTAGGAGAGCTGGCTTGGTCAGGTATAACAAGAACTCACATTTTCAAAAATGTTGAAACAAATTGTAAATTGGTACTTCTTAGACAGACTCACCACATATTCCTATAAGTGGTCACTTGGCCACCTGAAAAAATGTCAATGTAATAAAATGACATAACACCACTCCTAAAGATGAAAATGTTAACAGCTTTGACCCTGGCTCAAAATCTCTGCCATCAGCCAGCTGTCACTACATAGAGTAGATCTCCATTTCTGAAAGCCAGAGTTTCCCTTATTTCACCTCGAACAAATTTACCATGCTTTCTGAAATATCCCCTAGATTGTAGCATGTCAGCTAGCTTTAGCAACATGAACATGCCACACCGTAAACAGATTAGCTTTACATAGTACATTGATATGAGTGAATAGTAAATGCTACAAATGTCTAAATAAATGTCCCATGCAGACTGACATAACAATGTGCGCTTACAGTTCTTCAGAGCTGCACACAAGTCACACTACACTTATTAGCTGCACTGTCTTCAGTGCAGTGCTCAGCAGCCACACACCATTACCACAAGGGGGCTCACATACACTCAACTTCAGCAGCACTCACAATGGTGAACAATCTTTTAGAAAAATTCTGTATCCAAATTATGTGACGGATCAGTAACGGCATCTAGTCAACTGCTTTGTAGACCATACCCTACCTCTCTAAAAAATATCATTAATATCTGTTCATTACTTTATGCTTTTAACAACAACAAACACTCACAAACAAACCAACTAACACCAGCAAAAACATAATCCCCACTGTTGGTAGAGGTATTAACAACAACAACAACAACAACAATAATAATAATAATAATAATAATAGTAGAACACAGTAGTGTGGACTTCATAGAAAATTGGAAAACATTTTGGGGAAAACCTGGTCTGATTAGCAGAGACAGCATCCATCCCACTTTGGATAATGCAGCTCTTATATCTAAATTCAAAATTCAAATTTTATTTATATAGCACCAAATCACAACAAATGTCATGTCAGGACACTTTACAAAGTAAGGTCTAGACCTTACTGTTATCACTATTATTACAGAGAGAAAACCCAATATATTATTATTACAGAGGGAAAACCCAACAAATCCCCCTTGCGCAAGCACTTGGCGACAGTGGAGAATAAAAACTCCCTTTAAAGAAAGAAACCTCCGACAGACCCCGACTCTTGGTGGGCGGCCTTCTGCCTTGACCAGAGGAGAGAGAAAAGAAGAAAAGCAACAGGACACAACAAACAATCAAGCACTGGGCAGATTGATGTGGCTGGTGACTGCTCATCAGAAACATAGAGCTCCAGATCCAGGGAAACCTGCAGAAAGGTACAGGGAGAGAGAGAGGACACACTACGGGAGAGAGGAGACAAAAAGTTAATCATGTGTAATGGTGGTATATAGATGCATGGAGAGAGAGGAGAGGAGAGGATCGGATCTAGAAATCTGGATGAGTTTATTTGTCAACCTAAATTATGACAACCCACAGTTGACACCAGCGCACAGGGTCTTACACGCCTCTCTGCAGGCTCTTGGCAGCTGCTACCCTCCCAAAACAGCCCAGTACCCAACAGAAACTGTGTCTGCCCCCCGACCACCTAAATTATATATATATAAAAAATCAGCTCAAGAGGAGTTATTCATAAGAACCTAATTAAAATGACGGAACAAAATAACAGGATAATCAAATGTGAACTATTAAATATAACTATAATATAAATACATAATATAAATAAATCTCTGTTAGTGAATGACTTGATAAGTGAACATCACACTGATTTATTGTATCTTACTGAAACCTGGTTACAGTTGGAAGAATATGTCAATCTAAACGAATACACTCCACCTGGTCACAGTAACTGTCACATCCCTCGAAACACAGGCCGAGGTGGTTGCGTGGCAGCGATCTTTGACACAAGCCTATTAATCAACCCTGGACCTAAACATAGTTATAACTCATTTGAAAGTCTCACTCTGAGTCTCTCACACCCAAACTGGAAAACTCAAAAGCCAGTTCTACTTGTGACTGTATACCATCCACCTGCCCCTTATTATGAGTTTTTAACTGAATTCTCAGACTTCCTGTCTGATTTAGTGCTTAGTACAGATAAAATCATCATAGTGGGTGAATTTAATATTCATGTAGATGCTGACAATGACAACCTCAACAGTGCATTCTATTCATTATTGGACTCAATTGGCTTTTCTAAATAAACCCACTCACTGTTTTAATCACACCCTTGATCTTGTTCTGACATATGACATCAAAACTGAACACTTAATAGTTTTTCCTCAAAACCCTCTTCTGTCTGACCATTTTCTAATAACCTTTGCATTTACATCACTGAATTATACACTATGTGGGAAACAATTCCACTACAGTAGATGTCTATCTGACAATCCTGTTACCACATTTAAGGAAATGATTCTATCATTATTTACTTCAGTTCCATGTGCCAACATAATGGAGGGTGGCCACCTTAACTTTACTCCCACTCAAGTCAATAATCTTGATAGTACTGTAGCCTCCCTACGTACAACACTTGATACCGTTGCCCCTCTGAAAAAGAAGGCAGTGAAACAGAGGAAGCCCCATGGTACAGCTTGCAGCTCCACTCCCTAAAGCAGGCATCACAAAAAACTAGAAAGGAGGTGGCACTCCACTAAGTCAGAAGAGTTTTTTCTAGCCTGAAAAGATAGTTTAATAATATATATAATAAAGCCCTTTGTAGTGCCTGAACTGTGTATTATTCATCACTAATAAAAGAAAATAAGAACAACCCCAGGTTTATTTTCAGCACTGTAGCCAGGCTGACAAAGAGCCACAGTGCTGTTGAGCTTAACATTCCCTTAGATCTCAGCAGCAATGACAAATTCTTACTTTGCCGTCCACATGAATGCCACAAAATACAAATGAAATACAAAGTAGATGAATAAGTAACACAAAATCTAAGGCATTTTAAAACAGCCAATGAAAGAAACATAATGAAAAATACAAC